GGGCAGAGGCAGGTCTAGGCCCCTCATGTTGCCCATGGCCCTTCGTGTCCTACCTGGGACTGAGATAATCTGTTCTGACCCTATCAGTGGGGGCTAATGAAGCAGAAAAGAGAGGTTGGATTCTGCTCCAATACAGCAGAGGAACAGCCTTTGCTTATTCCTAAGTGCTTCTTGGGAAGGACTCAAGAGAATGCTGCAAGGAAAGATGAAGTTCTTGGTGACAGTGATAGGGGAAGAAGTAGGAAAGGTTTCTCAGGATTTAAAGGTTGAAAAAGCTGGGAAATAAGTTGTGAGGAATGGTGATTGTTCAGGTATGGGAAATAGCACATCATAAAGACCAAGATAAAAGTGAGAGAGAAATAGGAGACAGGTGCCAAATATGAAAGACACAGGACAGAGGAACAGATGAGAAGAGAGTACATTTCATTCTAAAAGGAAAGAGCAAATGTCAGTGCAAATTCTGGTATATCTGTGCAATGTGGCAGTATTATGAAGTCTAAAGATTGGGAATAGCCATTCACTGCCCCAGGAAAGAGATGGAGACAGGGCAGGGTGATCTAAGAGAAGAAGAGGTAGACAATATGGAAGCAAAATGCCTGGAGAGTAGAGATGGGCTGAGAAATACAATGAGCAGTGCCAGGAGATGACAACGGCAGAAGGTGAAAATGAATGAGAAGCACTTCCACCCTCTAGAGATGGCTCTTGTCTTGGACCTCTCATCTATGTGGGTATCACCCAGCCAGGGCAGGTCCCCAGAGGTTTTGTACATCTGCTGTTAAAGTCCAGGCCTCTCAGGGCACCAAGCCTGCTGTTTACACCAGGGGTGCCTCTGTGCCATGGTGGTACCAATCCCACATGGCTCATTTTGTGCTGGTAATAGGAAAGGCATCACACAACAACAGGCTGGTTATTCATCCCCTTGCAGTCTCCAGAGCTATGATCATCATGCTGAGAGCCAAAATGTCCCTCAAAATAAGGCAACCTTTGTCAGCATCAACAGATTAGAGTATGCGAAGACTTTACAGCCTAAGAGACAATATTGCCTTTGTTCTCTTTTCCTCCAAGAAGGCAGTAAACTACAAGCACTGGAGGATGTAATCCAAGTGCTAATAAATTATTGATGTCTCCCTTCAGCTTTTTACTTACTAAAAGGATATCAAAGCTCATTTTGTGAATGGTCCAAACAGATTCTCTTTTGCTATATCCACAATTTGATTCACAGATATTGCACTAAGTGTTAATATTGAAGCAACGCAGTGTTCTCTCTTTACAGATAATAAGCAAAAGATAATAGACATGTTTTTGATTACACGGATTCATAAATAGATGCAATGAAGAAAATGCCACTTATTACTCCAATAGACATTTGATTTCATAATATAAAAAAGGCAGAACACATTATTAACTAGGAATACATTTTTTTTAATAATAAAATCCTGATTGAAAGCCTGTTGAAACCATTGTACTTGCTCCTTACAGATAGTCTGCACAGTTCTTTGGCAGCACACACAAGTTGTAGAACAGTATGACTTAGTTTATATTTAGCAAAACCTCTCTTCCAATGTGCCTATTTGCACAAGTCAAATAAAACTATCTATATTGAAAATGGTCTTTCCATTACTGTCAGCTTTGGAGCAGTATGTTCCTTAACAGCATGTATTAATTTATGCTATTTTTTGGAGCAGCACAGAAGTAATTTGAAGCCCTCATACTGCAATTTTCCTGGTAGGAGTCTCCCCTGAACAAAAGGCTTAATTTTTCTCCCTGCAAGTTTTGGTGGCCAGAAATGCTCAGATCTTGATAGCTGTTTCATCTTAAAGACAGACACCAGGCTTCCAGGTATATCTTAAAAATGGTACCAGATCTTTGCAAATTTAGCTCAAATGCCATCTCCCACTAAACAGAAAAAAATCTGCCTGCTAAGTCGGTGCAATGGCCCAGCCAAGCTCAGAAAAAGGACTGTCAAATTAACAATGGCAGGGCACTGATCCTAAAGTACACAAACCGCAGTTCCTGACTGCACCAGTTTCTTCTTGCTCTGAATAGAGGCGGCAATGCTATGTGTGTTGTCTTTGTGCCTTGCTATCTGTTTAGAAAGACTGAGTGACCAGGCACAAAGCCCAGAAGAGAGAGCTAATTTTTGCAATATGGTATACATATTTTGCAAGCCAGCCTGCAAACTGCTTATCACATATTTGGTGCTATATACATGAATATTCATAATTAATCCATGTTAGAATAGAGTAGAAAGCTCAAAATGAACAAAAATAGCCCCTTCAGGCATCTCATACCAGTGACACTGATCCTCTGCATTTCTGAAATTAAAAAATGAGCTTCTTTGCATAGATTTTGCAGTACTCTATGGAGTTCAAGCTTCCTTTTTTACCCTGTTCCTTCAAGTTGTGAAGACGACCTTGATAAGAGAGATTGATACCTTGAATCTGGAGCTAGAGAGGTGGAAATAAAGGCACCTGGTGAGAGATGACATTTCCAAAGCTTAAATCTCAGGGGTAGCAACCTTCATTTTCCCTTCTCCAGTTCTCTTTCATCTCGAGGCTTTTTTCCCATGTTTTGGCTTCAGGTACCAGCAGAATTCTGACAGTATTGCAGGTGGGAAGATGTAGATCGAAAGCCTGAATTCAACTGGGGGCTACATATCCTCAGAGAAAACTTCATCTCTTATAGGTGGAAGGGCCAATTAGTCAGTCCTTGGTACTGCTTGCAGCTGTTAGCCAAGCAACAGTCAGGATTTGTTTAGATTAAATAAATCCCACTTTATTCAACATCAAAAACAGAGTGTATGCAGTAATGAAAACAAATTCATAAAGTTGTTCAGGCAGTCCCAAAGCTCAGTAGGTATTAGATGTATTTATTAGATAAAGGTGACCATTTGGACTGGGATGGCAGACAAATCTGACAGGCTGAGCTCTGCCAGGTCTTTGTTTTCTGTCCTTGTCTGACTCAGCTTTTCAATTTGATGCTCTTATTCCTGGGCTGCTTGGCTTGCCAAGCTGACACCTTTCTGGTGCACAGCCTCTCCCTGCTGCCTGCACAAATGGGACCCTCAGCTTCAGAGAACTGTCAACCCTTTTCCTTACTGAACAGGGATGCTTCTCCACAGCTGTCTTGTGATACACCAAAGCACATTTTTTTCTATCACCCCTCCTGTTGCCTTTAAATGTGGCTTTTTAACAGCCCCTACAAGTAGAAATTTGGCACAAATATAAAGTTCAGCCCTGATTTGTCAGTGCACAATTTTCTAGCTTGGCACATTTTTCCTCTAACCACAACACTTCATCATGCCCCAGGACCCATTTCATAGCATATATAAGGTCACTGAAAACACTTAGACAAACATACTCTAGCTAACCAAGGAGAACAGTTTTAATATCTCTTTTCTCCTGTAGATCTTGGTGGGTAAGTCACAGGCACTCCTTATGCATTCTTTATGGCTCCTTTCTGTGTCCCAGATGTGACCTACTCCTTGCCCATCTGCTGATTGTCTTATCCTCCAGAGATCATTGCCCATTGTACCACTTACAGAAAGGAAATAGCGTATTTTAAATGTGCATTTTCATATGGTTTATAAACCCGCATTGTATTGCCTTCCACTGTGCATTTGACAATTCCTCTACAGGGCTGAGAGAAGTAAAAGCCAGACTGCTCTGAATGTATATATTGGGTGCAGCCAAAGAAATGCCATTCCTGTCATTAGGGGAGGACAAGGCACACGTATCTCTAGCTACAGTGGTAGTGGCTGCACTGCAGCGTGAGCCAGAGACATGTGAGTCAAAGGGAGTTTATCAATTGTCTCTCATGGACATCCTGCACCTCCAAAAATGGGTAGATTTCTCCATCTGGCATCAGCCAAAACTTGTCCAATGCGATGAATATTCTAAAATTCGGATTTATCAGAGCCCAACTTCTAGAAAATATCAGTTTGGTTTTGGTTTTTTTTTTTCTCTATGCATTCACACACCAAGCATTATTCTCTGCTCTACAGTCCTTCTAATCAATCTCTTACACAGACTGAGTGCCTTGAAACCAGAGTGGAGTTTTCCAGAGCAGAATGCCTGAAAAAGCAGCAAGCATGTTGTGGCAGGAGTTGAAGTATGAATATTAAAGTGAAGGTTGATGCTTCAAGAGTGTTCACTTGCCTGCTTACAAGATTTTTATGAAGGATTTAAAAAATATGCTGCTCCAGGGCACAGAGAGAGAAATGGATCAAATGAGATGAGCGACATAAGAGTGTAATGAAACATGAAGCAAACATGCCAAAGTAAGATGGTGCAGTACACCAGTCCTGATCAGCAGAAGGGACGATCACGACTGGATGCGCTGAATGCAAGATGCAGGCAGGAGCAAGAAATGTTGAGAGTGCAGGGAGTTTGCAGGAGGCTGCAATTGTGAGGGGAGACCTGTGCAGAAGGCAGATGAAACCACAGGAGAGGCTGAGGCCGCAAGGAGGATAGGAAGGTGCAGGAGCAGCTGGGTGCCTCCATTTCCTGTGCCAGCTACTCCTCCGGGAAAAAGGAGGTGAAGGTGGGCAGCAGGGTCGCGGTGCTGGGGCAGCCCCGGGGCTCCGTCCCGGCAGCGCTGTCCTCTGCCCCCGGTGCGCGCGTCCAGAGATCTGGGAAGGTAGCGGAACATCCCCGGGCCGCGCCGGGCAAGTTTGTCCGGCTGCTCCGTGCGGGAGCGCTTCCCCAGGGCAACCTGCCTCCTCCTCCGCCTTCTCCTTCTCCTGCTGCCGCTGCCAGGCCGCGTCCCGCCGCCAGTGGGTTCTGGGGAAAAGCGGGAAAAGTGGCCGGGGCACTGAAGAGGGCCGGGGCGCTGGGAGGGGGGTGCCCGGCGGCGGGGGCACATCCCTGGGGATGGGGGGCGGGGAGGGGGCGCACTCGCGCAGGGGGCAGCGAGGCTATCCCCGAGAAGGAGACAGGAGGGGACACCCCGGGAAGGGTAGGGGTTCGGAGGTCGTCCCTCGGGAAGGTGGGGGCGCACGCCGCATCTCCCAGCCGCCCGCAGAGACGCGTCGGGAGCCGCCGGGCGATCGCCTGCCCACCTGGGGGGGCCGGGAGCGGCAGGGACACCCCCCACTCCGCCTCGTCTTTCTCTCCTCCCCTCCGCCGCCTCCCTCCGTCCCTCCCTGCCCGCCTGCCTGGGATGGTGGAGGGAGTCCGGAGCACCCGGCAGGGCGGCCCTGGGCGCGGGGCCGGCTCGCCCTGGCCACGGTGCGGGGCGCGGCCCGCGGGGGGCTCCGCCGTCCCGGGGTCCGGCAGCCGCCGCCGCCACTGCCGGTGATGGCCAAGGATGTCCTCGGAGGGGGAAGCCGAGGCGGCTGCTGAGAGCGGGCCGGGCAGCATCCCCGCGCCGGGGGCCGCCGCCGCCGCCGCCGTGCGGGAGGAGGTGAGCGGCGGCGTCCGCCCCGGACCGGGCTGGGGGGAAGACCGGGAGGGGCAAAGGCAGCCCCACCGAGGGGCTGGGAGGCGGGCCGACGGGGGCGTGGGGGAAACCAGGGAGCCGGGGCCGGAGGAGGGTGTCCCGACTGGGGGGTGTTTGCAACGCGGGGAGAACCGAGGAGCGTAGCCACAGCCCACCCGGCTACCTGCAGCCGCGGTGCGGTGCGGTGCGGTGCGGTGCGGGGCCGTGCCCCGCCGCGCCCTGCAGTGCCGGGGCCGCCGGCGGGACCCCCGCGGCCGCGCCGAGCCTCCTGCGACGGCGGGGCGGCCGCAGCCCCGCTTTCGCTGGATGCGGGGTTTTACGGACGGACCCCTGCGCTCAGCCGTGCGCTGCTGCCGGGCTCGGGCGGCCGCTGATCCACCGGCCCTGCACCGGAACGATGCACTGGCAGGGAAAGCGGGCCAGCCTAGTAGAAGTTTGGCTACGTGAGCCCCGTGGCGTTTGGCCTAGGAGAGCCTACTGCTTCTCTGGGACCTGTGAAATGGTCAAGAGGACTGCAGCTTTGCGAGGAACTAGTGGAAATGGCCGGAGGGACATACTGAGAGTGAGAAGGGGCTTGCAGCCTGGGGCTCTGTGGCTTTCAGGTGTTTTGGAGCAAAGGAGGAGGTCATGCCTCTCCTTTTCCCTTGGGGTCTAGGCGCTCCTGTTACCTAATCGGCAGTAGAAGACAGTGGAGAAAATACAGCTTAGTATGTTTCTTCAGGTCATCTGTGAAGCACTCACTTTGGCCTTGCATAGCATAGAGAGGGAATGATGGATGTGTCTGAGTGTTGACACAGAACCCTGAGCCACAAGGTATTGGCCAGACAGAACTGCAGGGCTGTGTGTGACAGTAGGTGACAGTGCTTGTGCAATCCTGCACGCTCAGGACAGCAAGCTGCCCTGTTTTAGAAATGCCTGGAAATTTCTTCTATGCCTAACATAGCCTTTGTTTCCAACAGTTTTGACACATCTGCCATTTACATTGTGTAATCCATGTGCAGATCATGGAAGTGAGTGAACTTTCTTTGTACTATGCAGTTTAAAACAAATGTACATGCTCCCAGGAATACAGAGAGCAGCCTTGAAGCAGGCAGAGAAGACTGAAAACGTAAGTGAAAGCAGCCCTGGAACATTGTGTTGTACAGTTAGTCTGCCTAAAGCTTTTGTTAACAGGTCCCATGCTCATCAGCAGTCTCATAATCCTACAGTCAAAATCCAGTAGCCTCAACAAAGTCTGTGTGACTCTACAGTATACTTAGGCTAAAACCAAACAGCACTTTTTAAACCACCTTTAATTGAAAATTGACTTTACAGCTCAGGTTGAAAAACTATCCTCCATAGGTGAAAATTAGGGTTTTCTCCTATTTGATTGCTTTTTAAACACCTGTGACACAGTTCATCATGAAGAGCTGTGGCTGGATCCAGGATACAGCTGCTGTTCCAGTGGTAGAACTCCCCAATGTAATTACAGCCCTGCAGAAGATCAATACATGGTTAATGCTGGAAGGGATTTTTTGATTTATTTGGTCTAGGACCAGGAGCTACTGAAGGCTTTCCAATACATTAAGTACACCATGAAAACATCTAAGCCATTTCTAGACACTAAAGCACTTGATCTCTCTGCTAAGCACATTATATCTTGCTTCATTCATCCTGTTCTCAGTTTTTCTTCTGTTCCAACACTAACATTTGCACATTTGAGTCTATATCTCAAATGCCTGTAACAGTGATATCTTAACACTGCAGTCCTACAGTATTGGTCCTTTCCTCATGCTTTCCACATCACCATGTATATAGATTTTTTGCACCTGGACCTGCAGTTGCATGTAAGTGCCCAGTATTGGTATTAAATGGGCATTTCATGGGCTTCTCTGTTCAACCTTGTCATTCATGGATTTCACTTAGACCAAATGCATGGACCTAAATGGTGACAATGACTGAAAACTGCCTTTGTTGGGTAATAAATCAACATGAGACATAACCCTGAGCTATTAACAGAGAATGTGTCTGAAGTCTACATTTTTATTTTTAAAAGAAAGACAAGCAAAGGTGCGGCTGTGGAGCAGGAAGGAGCGCGGCAGTTCAGTTACCTGTCACGGCCCTTGACTTGTTGTGCCAAGGACCACATAGGTTTACTGCTGACTTTGCTGAATGTCAGAGCAAGCCCTCAGATTACCTGCCAGTATTCTGGTTTGATTTTTTTCTATTAAGTTTTTTCTTATTGAGATATGGATTGCTTGGATGACCTGGAATAGTCGTGCTTTTGGTATTAGTGTAGAATTCTACCATCCCATGAACTCTTTTGAAAAGGAACCAAAACCTTTCAGGGGAGGGAATGTAAAGGATGCATTTTTTTCAAATGTTTCAGCAGTTATTGCTGTAGATTATTTCTCTGGACATACTTGCCTTTGCTTTCCTCCCTGAAATAGCAGAACCTGCTGCTATGTACTGCCCTGCTTAAGCAGTGGTCTGGCTATTTTTCTCGATATTACTGTGGCAGCCTCCACCTACACTGAAGAGTTGATAGTGACTTTTCTGCGTTTCTTCCAATTTACACCTCACTTGGGAAGTGGCTTAAATATTTAAAATTTTAAAACTTAGTTGGAAATTAAGGTGTTGGGTTTTTTTCAGGAAAGCAAAGCTGGTGAGTACAAATATCATTTATTTGCTTGCAAAGCCAAGTAATCACCGAAGAAAGCTGAAAGCTGCAGCCACCTGACATTTTGAAATACCTATTTGTCTTGTCTGTACTGCCAGAGTCAAACAGCTGTCCATGCCTGGCTTTATCTTCTCTTCCATATTTAAGAACTTTAATTGGGCATGACATAATGTAATCAGTTAAACCATTTAAATAAAAGGGAAAACCTCACAGGTTGATGTTCCTGAAACCTATGGTCATCGGCTCTCTGATGGAGATGTTACAGAAAAGAGAGGCCACTTGAAACTCCCTCATTTGCCTCTTACTGCCAGTGGGAAATATAACAGGAGCTCATTTGAAAAGTGCTGTTTGTGGTCACAGCAGCACCAAGGGGGTGTTACAAGTTAAGAAAACACACATAGTGCTTGTTTGCAGGCTACAGCTTCAGAGGCTGTCAGGTCAAAACATAGCTGGCACCTTTCCTCTTAAGTGTGCCACTGAAGAGATACCCAGTTCTCCAGCTTTTTTATCCCTTTCCCCCAAGATTTATTTAATTTGTCAAGGCTTATAGCATTAAAAACACCAGGCATGAAGCCCTTAATAACTTAGACCAGTTACCTTTAAATTGTCCCCGTCTGTGGGCTAAGTTGTACCCAGGTGGATGAGAGGTGGCAGAGGCAGACAGCCTTTTCAGGTTTATCAGATCTGCTGTATGTGCCCATTCTTCACCAGCAAGTCTCCACAGTCTGATCAACTCTGCTCCCTTGCAGATCTGCAGGAGCCCATTTACACCCCGCTGCCTCTGTGGCACCCTCCTCTTCCTTGAGAGTCTTGTCATTTCCAAGACTTCTGTACTCAAGAGAAACAAGCCCAGGTGCAGGGGATGGAGAGAAGGGCAGGCACAGGGGCTGTGATGGAGGATAATATTCCCCACCACCTTTTAAGCAAAAGTTGCAGAGGCACCATTGTGTATCAATCTCCAGTGAGGGCCTATCTCTGTGTAAACCTCCCCCTTCAAGAGCTGCACAGGGCCAGAGGAGGGCAGGAAATGTGAGACATGATTCCTAGGGAAGCTTCACTTTTCCTTCCCTATAGCACTTCCAGTCCTCACGCAAAGGACCTGCTCAGCTAACCCCCTGAATGATAGCTGATGGTTAGCCTGGTGGAAGGCTGTCACCATCCCAAGTGAGCATGACTGACAAAACAGTTCTTTTTTTTAGGCAGTGCATGATATTCCCTCTCTTGAGTGAAGGTCAAACAGAACAAGACCCTTTCTTCCCCTCCTGCCCTTGCTTTATTCATTAAACATAAACCAAGTAGTGCTCCTCATTCCTTGTTCCAGATGACTTCCCTTGTAAAGACAAAGGAAAAAGTGCAGCAGGAGTGGCATCTGAGGAACTGGAAAGCTTTTTTGCATGATCCTCCAGTTCCAGGCAGTATTTGCATTGCAGATTCTGTCATAAGAATATCCATGCTGTAAGCATCGCATCTTTTTTTCTGCTTTTGTTCTTTTCATTGTCCCACTTTATCTTCTGATCACATGTCTGTTCTTGGTGCCCTGGAGTTGACTGTCTTCTCCACTTCACTTGAGAAACTGTCAAGGGTTTTAAAAAATAGATAGGAAATATCAAATTAATGTATCTGAGCTTTGAAGGACAGCCTTGGCTCCAGCTGTGTGGGCTTCTACAGGCAGAGTCTTCTGTCCTCTCCAAAGAATGCGCCTCGCCACTGTGGCTGAGACTGAAGTGAGTTGCTCCTTCTGGCTGACTTTCCCAATCTTGCCAGTAAGGGAATTTTCTCAATGAAACACTGGGCTGGAGCAACTGGGGAACTTGTGGGGTTCTGCCACTGGAAGGTTATAAGGACAATTTAGGCAAATAGCTGTTAACTGTGTAGATGTTGTCTCATGGGAAAGGGACAGACTAGTGCTAGGGGTGGTAGTTCCCCTTCAGACCTGGTTCCTAATGCTGTTCTTTCAGGTGGACAGTCACCTGATACCAGCGGAAAAACAATGGGTCTGCACACTTTTTTGACCCCCCAATTACTCTCCTGGTTCTCCCTTTCTCACTTCAGAGACCCCAGATGACAATCTCCCTCAAGAAGGAAAGTGTGTATACCAAGGATACTTTTCAGTCAGTGCAAGTCATTGCAAGAAGTGTAGGAGGAGGTATCTTCTTCCTGGGAGTGGAACATTTTATTTCTTCTTTATCTGTTTCTACACCTTGGAAGAAAATAGCTCAAATCATTGCCAGTCACCAGGGACATTGTGGAAACAGAGAATAAAAGCGGTGAAATATCCTCAAGTGGTTCCATAATGAGTAGGCCT